GGAAATCCTATGCAGATGCCCCACCCCTCCCTGAGCCTGGTTCTGCCGGAGGTTTCTTCCTGTTAAAAGGGAGTTTTTCCTTCCCACTGTCGCCAAAGTGCTTGCTCATAGGGGATCATATGATTGATGGGTTTTTCTCTGTATCTATGAAGCGCCTTGAGGCGACTTTTGTTGTGATTTGGCGCTATATAAATAGAATTGAATTGAATTGAACTGTAAAAGACTGATTGCCAGTCATTGCTAAAGCTTGATTTCAGCTGTTGCTGCTAAGGGTGACCCAACCAGTTATTAGGTTTAGGGGGCAATCATTTTCACACAGGACCATGTAGTTTGTTTTCTTTCCCCTTATTAATAATAAACACTTTAGAAACTGCATTTTGTGTTAACTTTTGTTATGCTTGTGTAATATTTTAATTTCTTTGATAATCTGAAACATTTAAGTGAGACAAACATATTAAAAAGACTTTTTCACCCCATAAGGAAAATAAAAAGACTTTTTACAATTCTAAGATTCTAAGATTAGATTGTTTGCCACGGTTTGGTATTACTTTTATTCTTCAACAAGACTAAAATCTCTGAGAAAAGCTTCTTCTCATTTCTTTAAGCAGTTTTCATTAATAGTCCTCTGGGTTTCTTGAATGACATACCCAAGGTCTTCTTTGGATGTTGGCTGCCTTTTGTTCTACTCTCCGACAAGATGATTCAACAATGCTTCAATACTGTTGTGGTGCGGCCTCTGAGGTCTTTTTTTTTCCTGTTTCATTTCTTTAAGAATTGCTTCTTGACAATCAGCCTTCCACTGAGACCATTTCTGATGAAGCTTTCTTATGGACATGACTTTCAGATACTGTTCACTTGGCCTCCACTTGTCCAGCTCCCTTAATTTTCTAAGCACACACTACACAGCATATTTATATAAACCAAATCTTCAGCTAATAGAACTTTGGAATAATTTTATTGGTGCAAAAATATTGTTTTATGTGTGTCAAATGGTATTATCCTGGATACTGTGGCTTCACTGAAAGAAAAAACCTCCCAGAACTTCAATAATTACCTCCTCCTAACTATTAATGTATCCAGTAGATCCAATTTCTACAAGACTGCTCAGAGAAGTCCTACCATTAATTAATGCTTCGATCTTAATTGTGATCAGTGTATCTCTAATTAACCCTCTGGGGTCCAGGGTATAATTGGCCATTTTTGACTACTTTTGATTTTACCTCTATATTTCACCTTTAAAAACTGTTTATCTTGCCTTGTTTGGTATCATTATTTTCAGCACAACCTCAAATATCTGTAAGTGGCATTATTTTTTCATTTTGGCATACTATATTAGCACAATTGATCTAAATTCAGGCAAAAATTTTTTTAAATCAGAGTAGAAAATATATTATATTTTTTTACTGTAAAAACCACAAACATGTTTAACGAATCATTTTCATAACTTGAAATGCAAATAGAAATTGTACCTTTCTAAAAAAAAAATCAAAAATCAGAGAAAAATCAGAGTTTTAGAAATAACGGGACACTCGGAAGAGCCATTATATTCTATTCTTTACAAGTGTATGTAAACTTTTGACCACAACTGTATTTATATGTTTCAGAGTTTCAGTCAGGTTTCAGAACTCATCACAGTACAGTTATTGATTCTAGGCTGGACTACTGTAATTCATTATTATTGAGATGGCAGAAACAAGAATGTAATAATTAAGTTATTATCACTCAAGTCCCTGTGGTAGTTTCTGTGTAATAAGGAAGAAACAGAGCTGATAAAATGTAAAACTATATAGTGTATAAATAAAAAGGAATTAAATTGAATTGGATGACCATTAAAATGCAGGATTGGGCAAATCTGTTCTCAATACTACTACTACTAAAAATAATAATAATAATAGTAAGAAGAGAGAAGAATTAATCTATTGATCTGAAATTACACCTTAATTAATCATCAGTATTATCAATATTGATTATAGTTTGGCATATACCCTTCAGTATACTTGTGTATTTTTTATAGATTTCAAATCCTTCTGTATCTGCAATATTCTAACACACAACTGAATTATTTTGACCCAAATAAAACACAAGCATATCCATTACATTATAGACTTTGTAGCAGAAAGCTGCAGATGTTCAGTCAATTGACTTAAGATTCTTTATTTTCCTTTATTTTCCTTGTTACTTGCAAATCTACTCAATTGTGTGGAAAGAGCTGTGCACATGTTTGACAAGGGAGTTGCTGGGAGGAAAGTGGCACAGCTACAATAAAGCCTGATTGTTTGAAGCAGATAGCTATTAGCTGGAAGAGAGTGGGAGTTATTATGGTGGAAATGAAGCATTGTTAAGGAAACATAAGACTTCCCTCAGTGGATGATAGCCTCCTGAAGTGGTCTCAGATTAGATCTCACAGGTGCACTTGGGAGGGCAGCACTAATCATTACATTGGGAGAATTATAGCGGCTCATCAAATCTCCTCAGGAACGAACATTAAGGCTTATTACGAGGATGATAGCGAGGGTAGAATCCACTAATGTGAATAATTTATGAGAACTCTTTGGGTTGTACTGTTGGGCTTTTTAAAAGAACTTTCCCATTTGCCAATTGACTCCCTACACTAATGCACTGCTCCACATAAATAAGTGTTGAGAGCAAGTCTGACTTAATAGCTTTAAAAAAAAATGGTATGAATTTGCAGTGATATATGAGTAAATGTTATTGTCTCCATCCAAAAGCATGTGACGGGCCCTCGCTGCCTGGATGTCAGGATGCACCGCTTTGGACAGAGTAAAGATATAAAGAGGGGGACTGCATGTCAGTTTAATTCTGCGATATGAAGTTAAGCTATCAAAATCACTGCAGCTTTGTGATATTAAAACATGTTTCAATTACACAGCATTTTGAAATTGTTTTACAAAACATTTGAGCCATGAATAGTCTTTTTGTCTTTTTCTGACTGTAGAGATCATACAAATGTAATAATTTGTATCGTTTAATCATTTAATCATTGTGCTTACACACCCATGGCCAAGAAATCTAGTGCAGGGAATTTCCAGAATTTAATCTCCATTTGTTATTCTCCTAATGTTTTTTAATTCAGCACTAAATTAATAAAAATGATTAGTTCTGTACAATGCAGCATGACTTATTTCACCACCATAAAAGTGTGACAGTTTTGTTCAATGCTGTACAGTGAGTTGTTTCATTCATTACATTTCATGAAATCTTCTCTAGTTGATGGAGATTCATCCCGGTCATGGTAGTCTAAGGCAGTCCGTGAGTTGTTTGGTACCGGGCTGCAAGAGTTGAGGCTTGAGTGTGAAATTTACGATTTTCAGGGTTTTTATCATTATTTAGTTATCGTTTTATCGTTAACTCTGTTTCCCTGGGTCGTTTCCTGTGTTATGAATAAATCTTCTTTTTTTCTGTGCCAGTACTGGTTTTATTTTCTTGTATTTATCCGTGACACCTTAAAGGCCAGTCCGTGAAAATATTGTTGGACATAAACCGGTCCATGGCGGTTGGGGAACCGCTGGTCTAAGGAGCTTTGAAAGAAAGCAACTGGACTTCTTTGAGTTTCTTGAAGACATTTCACCTCCCATAGGAGAAGCTTCTTCAGTTCTTCTCTACATCACACATGTTGACCAAGTTGGCGAGCAAGAGGAAAGCTTAATCTTTGAAGCTTGTTTGCTTGCTAATAGTAGCTGTGTTTCCATACAAAGCACAGCTGGCAACTGATCTCAGAGCAGTGAAAGCTAAACCAATGACAGCTTGCCTAGCACACTTGTCTCACATGAATTTACTATGAAAGACCAGAGGTTTATTCACAATGTGCACGCAGAATATCTCTTTGACATTTCCAGAGAGAGATTGCCAGGGAGATTCCTCTACCACGTCAACTACTAATTTGACCCCCATCTGCTCCAGTCTGCATGCCAAATATCCTTGGGCAGGAACTCCAATTTGCTCTCTGATGCTTCGATGGTAAATGGCCTGTATTTGTATAGCGCGTTTCTAGTCCCTAAGGACCCCAAAGCGCTTTACATATCCAGTCATCCACCCATTCACACACACATTCACACACTGGTGATGGCAAGCTACATTGTAGCCACAGCCACCCTGGGGCGCACTGACAAAGGCGAGGCTGGCGCCACCGGGCCCTCTGACCACCACTAGTAGGCAACGGGTGAAGCGTCTTGCCCAAGGACACGACGACCAAGACTCTCCAAGCGGGCTCGAACCGGCAACCTTCCGATTACAAGGCGAACTCCCAACTCTTGAGATCGCCCCGATCAGAGTATGGATGTGTGTGAATACCGTAGAAAAAAGTACTTGTGTGAATGGGTGAGTGAGGCAAGTTGTGTAAAGCACTCTGAGTGCTCAGGTAGAGCAGAAAACCATTATGTATAAGAACAAGTCCATTTAGCATTTAGTTCGATCATGCTACTCACTTGTGTCAGCAGAATATTCCTTTTACAACATAACAAAAAATTGAAGTTCACACTATGAACGTAAACTAAGTAAAATAAAATAAAAAAATTGTACAAAACAGTCAACACATAATAAGAAATGAAAACATGCGAATCACAAACTGAATATTCTACATTTTAAACCACCTTCTCCAAAGTAAAATATTTACAACAGAACCATACTGCAAAGTAGCACAAAACCTTTTTCCATCTTTGAAGGGAATTAATAAAAGTTCCTATAAATGCATCATGTCTTTATAATGTTAGTCTTGATTTTAACCCCCTGAGACTCATTTTTTCCATTTCTTCTACATATTGATTTGGACCTTGCAATTATAAAAACTATGCACTATCATTGTTGTTTTGTTTTTTAAAAGTTGATCTGCTAGAAGTGTGATAATGGCTGTGGATGGAGAGGTTCAGAACTAGAGCAACAAGCAGGAAAGTAAAGCGTGGAATTCCTGCACTTGGCCAGGTGATGATTAAGTCTGTGATATGAACCACCATCCCTCTATGATTTTCTTTCATTCTCTGCAGCCTTTGCCTCTGAGGATAGTCTCTCCATCACTCCTGGGGGCATTTCCAACCTTTACCCTACCACCCAGGACACAGACAGGAGGCTCCCTGTGGTCACCACTGCACCGCCAATCAACATCCTGAATCATCACCCACTCTACCGGAATCCGCCCCAACACCAGGCCCACCCAGGCCCTCGTGGTCAGGCAAAGTACCTTGAAGACAGTGGAGGATCAAGCTCTCAGCTTTCCACATCACCATCCAGGAGAACACTGGATAACAGTGATGAAAGGATTTCAGATGAGACTCCTGAAAGCTCCAACATGCAAGCAACCCTTTCCATACATGCATTAGCAACCACTTCTCTCTCCAGTGCACTTCTTCCAGTTACCGGCAGGGTTTTGAAAGGCCCCAAACATTCTACCATTATCACCTCCAGTGATACTGCTGCAAGGGAAAAGGTTGCAGGGGCAGGCAGTGATGAAGAGGAGACAACTACCACCACTATCACAACCACCACCATCATCACCACCATGCAGAGTCCAGGTAAGAATAGGTCTTTAAATACACCTCATTGCATAAAAATAATAGTTTTTATTATAAAGTACCAATTAATTATAGGGAAGGGAATGTATGTGTGTGTGTGTGTGTGTGTGTGTGTGGGGGGGTGTGTGTGTGTGGGTTACGAGTGGAGACATTTGTGAAGTGTTGTGTCAGTTAAACTATCATCAAGTCAGCAAGAAAACAGGAAAGACTTTAAGTTTCTGTGTGAGCGATTTAATTGACCATGAAAAACGTTTTGATTAGCTGGTTCATAATAGTTTATAAATGTAGGAATATGAAAGCATTAACAAAGGGCCTCTAAACAACAATGTTATACTTTTAATAAACAAATGCTAATTTATATCTAAAGAAATATAGTTCTGTATAGTGGTAACATTCATATAGCACTTTAAATTACAAACCACATTTAAACGTCTTTATTCTATAAACTTTAGGCTCTTCGTCTACCTCATTTCCATGGCTAGTTTAGAGACC